TGCGGAGCTAAGTCGATCAGAAGACTTAAAAATTCCAGAGCTACAAGGTGACGTTGGGAAAAATCTAAAAACCCATAATGATTTGTTACATGCAGCTACAGGGAGCACATCTGCAACAAAAGAAGAAAATAAAACCAGATATGTTAACACTAATATGAATAAAATATTTGAAAAACCATTTATGCCAAAGAACCAAAAAGATCCATTATTCATACCACCTCAGCTAAACACATATAAAGAAAGCCTAGGACAAACAAAAAGACTTATAACCATATAACCAGAGCCTACATAGAGAACATCCACAAAATACAGACCTTTCTAAACCAAAATCCAAGATCCAAAAATACAAAAAAAACCCATGAAGATTACATTACACAAAACCTACAGGGATATAATAAGTTGATTGCACAACCAGGAACAAGTACAAATCTAGTAGGAACTTGCTACAACTATGGATTGTTAAGTACCGTATATACCCAAACAGGAGATGAAATATCTACGATACCAGAGTTACATAAAGCATTTATGCACTACAAAAGGATAATTAAAGGAACACTTTTTTATATAAAGTTCTATTCAGCACCAGCAGAAATATTGTATGATGAAATTAAACCTATCATCCAAGTCATAAAAATCGGATTAACCAGAGAAATGATAATACCAGAAAAAATAGAACAACAAGAAGAGATACAAAAGATAGAGATACCGAAATTTTATGCAAGAAAGCGGATTATTGGAATAGCTACTATTTTGAACGAGTTAACAACCAATTATTTAAATGGAAATTCAGTATGGAGCTACTATGCAAGAGAACAAACTATGATATATTCAAATTCCAGAGAAATCAGAGAAGCAGATATGGAAGAAATACGACAATGGATATTAAGTTTATTAAAACCAGAACAACAACCAACTACAAGAGCAATACGAAGGAATTTTATTTCACCAGAGATAATGACAAACTATTGCAAAACTATTGGACACAGATACCCAGATCATCAATGCTCGAAGTGCTATGGAGAAGATAATGTAATTTCAGCTGTCCAGCTAGAATAAAGAGCCACCAGACAAGATAAAAAGCAAGATTGGCAAGATGAAAAGAGAAGATAAAAAGCAAAATTAAAGTTGTTCGTCTTATTGTAAAAGCATGTTAGTAGAGTAGGAATAATTAAAGTATGTAAATTAGTGGATAGACATGTGTAAAGTAGTATGCATTATTAAAGTAGTAGGGCAGATGTAATTAAAGTATGTAAATTAGTGGATAGACATGTGTAAAGTAGTATGCATTATTAAAGTAGTAGGACAGGTGTAAATTAGAAAGAGTATAGGACAGATGTAAAGTAAGTAGAAGCATCTCTACTTGTATAAATAGAGAGCCATTAGGCACATCTAAGGCAAGACTTTCTCGACGGAAAGCAAGCCTCTTTGTAATACTCTCAAATAAATAAATATCAAGTTTTAATCTAAGCTATGGAGCAAAATATACCAGATCTCATAGAAAAACAGGTATATCTATTTATGATTATGCATAGCTAAATCTATTAATTCCTGAATATCATAGCATGATTAAATAAGTTCATACTAGTTATTATATACTAGAATTATTTGAAGCATGTTTTCTAGTTTGTTAACATGAGGAAAAAAAGAAAAACTTTCAGACTATGTCATCCTAAAGTTGAAACCATAGGCGAGGAAGTCGTGAGGGGAGTAAACAGAGTTGAGGCGCTGTTAGGAAGGGAGTACCTTTGAAAGTACGATGTTAATAGTGACAGGAGGACATGGTTGAGTAATCTAGTTTATAGTAATCTAATATGAATAATATTTATTATGCATATGATATAAGGGATTTATTGATTAAACAGCAGATCATTAATATGACTACTTATCTACATGATGAAATGATATTAGCTTATGAAACACTGATTTTATATATTCTAAAAAATATAAAAATAATTGAATTAAGAAGAATGATATGGGAAAAAATATTTGACTTAGAAGAACTAGAACTAGCAACTCAAACATGGTATGAAATAGACAAAATAAATGAAACAGATATAGACCTAGAACGAATTAATATTTGCGATCTAGAATTAGAATACTCAGACTAATGATAAATTACGAATACTTCCAATATTGGCAAGAAACTATTGAAGAAAATAACCTTACTAGGAGATCTAATAAAAGAAAATATATAAATATAGCAAAGAACCCAAAATATACAATACATAGAATACATACTAGAAAATATAAGAGAAATAATTAGACTAATACCCTTAAGGAAAGAATATTATGATAAACCTTTTAATGCCTAATAACATACTTCTAGTTTATAGTAATCTAATATGAATAATATTTATTATGCATATGATATAAGGGAATTATTGATTAAACAGCAGATCATTAATATGACTACTTATCTACATGATGCAATGATATTAGCTTATGAAACACTGATTTTATGTATTCTAAAAAATATAAAAATAATTGAATTAAGAAGAATGATATGAAAAGAAACAGTAAGATTAGAAGATAGTCTAACAATCATGGTACGAATAACTAAAGAAAATGAAGAAATAGACAGGAAAAAAGAGATAGAAATTATTAGACAACAAGCAAAACTAGAAAGACAACAAATAGAAGAAACAAAAAATGATAAGATAATTACTTTAGAAAAGAAATATATTCAGTTAATATGAAATAGACAGAGTAATATACCAAATATGTAGTAATCAAGGATCCTTTCCTATATTTATCACCCTTATTGAATGATTCAAAAAGTTTTTAAAATTATAGAACATTGGCGTGGCAAAGTAGGGAGTGGATGCCCTTGCTGAGCGCCAACGCTCTTGGATGGCTGATTGAATCGGCCTTATCAACTCAATCGCTTCTTCTGGGTCGAGCTGTTCATGCGCATATCATCAGAACTATTGAATCCCCTTATCCACCTTTCCTCTCTAACCATCTCATCAACTTCTACTCCAAACTTGATTCCCCCAACTCAGCTCAACTCCTTCTTTCACTCACTCCGCCCCGTTTTCGTTCCGTCGTCACTTGGACCGCTCTCATTGCTGGCTCCGTTCAAAATGGCCATTTTACTTCTGCCCTTTTACATTTCTCTGACATGCGCCGACAGTCTGTTCAACCCAATGACTTCACATTCCCTTGCCTTTTCAAAGCCTCCGCTTTCTTGCATTACCCCCTCATGGGCCAACAGCTTCATGCACTGGCACTGAAAGGTAGCTTCATTAAGGATGTGTTCGTTGGCTGTAGCGCATTCGATATGTACTGTAAAAAGGGTCTGCGGGAATATGCGCAGAAGATGTTTGATGAAATGCCTCACAGGAATATTGCAACGTGGAACGCTTGTATTTCTAATTCCGTGCTTGACGGAAGGCCTTACGATGCCTCTCTAAAATTTGTTGAGCTATTAAGACTAGGTGAAGAACCACCTAATTCTATTACTTTTTGTGTGTTTTTGAATGCTTGCTCGGATGGTTTGTATTTGAAGCTTGGGCAGCAGTTGCATGGTTATGTTATTCGATTTGGCTTTGGGTCAGATGTCTCTGTTCTAAATGGAATGGTTGATTTTTATGGAAAATGTCACCAGGTGAAGTATTCAGAGCTAGTTTTCAATGAGATAAATGTGCGTAATGGTGTATCATGGTGCACCATGTTGGCAGTGTATGAACAGAATGATATATGGGATAACGCTTTTATGCTGTTTCTTAAGGCAAGGAAGGAAGGTATTAAGCCAACTGAATTCATGCTTTCAAGTGTGCTTAGTGCTTGTGCAGGAATGGCAGTGCTTGAGCTGGGGAGGTCTATTCATGGTCTTGCAGTAAAGGCTTGTATCGAGCATAACGTATTTGTTGGCAGTGCACTTGTTGACATGTATGGGAAATGTGGTATCATAGATAATTGTGAGAGCTCCTTTTATGAAATGCCCGAGAGGAATTTGATAACTTGGAATGCAGTAATGGGTGGTTATGCTCATCAAGGGTGTGCAGATATGGCATTGAGTTTGTTTGAGGAGATGACTAGTGAAAGCCATAATGTGGTGCCTAGTTATGTGACATTTGTTTGTGTATTGACAGCTTGTAGTAGGGCTGGAGCTGTTAAAATAGGCATGGATATCTTTGAATCTATGCAGAAGAAGTATGGGATTGAACCAGGGCCAGAGCATTATGCATGTGTTGTGGACATACTTGGAAGGGCTGGTTTGGTGGAGCGTGCATACGACTTTATCAAGAAAATGCCTGTTCCACCTACAGTATCAGTCTGGGGAGCTCTTTTAGGGGCTTGTAAAGTTCATGGAAAACCTGAACTAGGGAAGGTTGCGGCAGACAATTTGTTTCGACTTGATCCTTTGGACTCTGGAAACCATGTCATTCTTTCTAATATGTTTGCTGCTGCTGGAAGGTGACCTTAAGTTCTTTGTTTCACTAAGATAGTCCTTGAATTTCTTATTGCATGCAACAAGATCACCATATGGCAGTCAATGTTCTTTCTTTTTGACCAAGTTAATATGCGTATAGATACCGACTTTGAAAGCTCCTCCTCAATACATTGTTCAGTAATTCTGTTTTCAACCAGTCACTTTAATTGCTTAATCTTTTTTAGGCATTCTTGTTATTCTGTTACACGGTCCAATTATACTTACTGTGAACCTATCCCTGGAGAGCAGAGGGCCTGTTAATCTATGCTCATTTTGTTATTGATGCCTTATAAATACACGTATTTAGACAATTTAAGTACTGCTACATTTAACTATAGATACTGCAGAAACATTGCATGAGATTTTAAATTGTGAAGGGTTGCTCTAACCCCTTGGAGGATCATATGTAAAGTTCTTTTCTTTGTGTTACTACTGCAGCTGGATTTAGGAAATCTTTCTTCCTCTATCCTCATTTGTATTCCACACATTTGCATTAATAGTATTTTTGTATCAACTTTGGCTTGGAAGAAGAGGGTAGGGGATCATGCTTATACCTTTAGATAAATGGGCACTTCTATCTGTAGACTGCAAGTTGAGTAGTTGTAGATTATCTTTGTTATATAAGTTTGCCTTCTTCCAATACCTATTTATCATAAGAGGTAACTGCAGGTGGGATGAGGCTAATCTTGTCAGAAAGGAGATGAAGGATGTTGGCATCACAAAAGGGGCCGGAGTCAGTTGGATATCTGCAAAGAATTCTATCCATATTTTCCAAGCAAAGGATACAACTCATGAGAGATACCCAGAGATTCAAGCAATGCTGGCCAAGTTAAGGAGAGATATGAAAGCAGAAGGTTATATTGCCGACACAAATTCTGCGCTATACGACTTAGAGGAGGAAGAAAAGGAATCAGAAGTTTGGCATCACAGTGAGAAAATTGCACTTGCATTTGGTCTCATTGCTATCCCTCCTGGAGTCCCAATAAGGATAACAAAAAACCTGAGGGTCTGTGTGGATTGCCATAGAGCAATAAAGTTCATCTCGGGCATTACTGGTAGAGAAATTATTGTAAGAGATAACAACCGCTTTCATTCCTTCAAGGACTACCAGTGCTCATGTAGAGATTATTGGTGAATCTAGTTTAAGCATTCCAGAGAATTCTGGATGCTCCTTGCCATTGATCCAGGCATTGAGTTGCACTCGTGATACTACTGCAGCAATAGGAGTGATGTTCGGATTGAGGATCTGAACTAGAAGATATCACCTCCATAATTTTTCTTCACTTTCAAGGCCAAGCTGGAATTGCATACAAGGTTCACCATCCCCTGCTAGAGTCTTTATTGTGTATTATTTAGTGCCTTAGACGTTACTTTTCTCCGCAGCATTACATTTGCACGGTGATGGCATTTGTTGGCTCTCTCATTATTTCTTTCTTTATTCTATCATTATACCTGGTAACTTGTGTAACCTCTAACTCATTTATCTACCTAATTAACCACCCCACTATCTTCCTATTCATTGCGAGAAAGAATTATTCCCCTATAAATAGTGTTGATTGTAATATTTAAAATTTATTAAATATAAATTTATAAAATGATTCAGATTATATTAAATTCATGAATATATTAGTCCAAGTAAATAATGGATTAATATAATTGGGCTAATTATTCAAGTCCAATAAATATGGATTTAATTAAAGTCAAAATTAATTGATTTGCACTACAATAGATGAGCTTAATTTGCTAAGTCCAATGTCATCTTATCCTAGAGGCTCATTCTTTTGGTGCCACGTGGCAAATGACGCGGCATGCCAAGTCAAACAAGAAGCTAATAGGATCATGACATGTGTCAAAGATGACAAGCCCGTCATAAAACTCATAGGCCACGTCACTTAAATCTGATTGGCTTAAGGGAATCATTTTCCAATCACAACTCCTCTATTCTAAAACTATAAATAGGGGTCCTCATAATTCAGAAAAGAGACAGAAAATTCTAAACAAGAAGCTAGAGAAAACCCGTGGTACAAACGCCATAAAACTCTCTATAAGCTACAAGTTTAAGAATTCAAGCATTCAAGTTCAAGAATGATCAAGATCAAGACCATCGGATTCAAGAACAAGCTCGAAGCCCTTGAATTCAAGTTAAAGTTAAGATCAAGATAAAGTTCAAGTTCATCGAAGATTCAATAACAAGCTTTAAAGCCTTTGAATCTAAGATCAAGTTCAAGACAAATTCAAGATCAAGCTCAAGAGCCCTTGAATTTATATTTGAAAAGGCGAATTCAGAAGAATAATAGAGATTGTAGCACTCGCAC